TAACTACCCTGACCTATCAAACACTGGATTCTTACACTCTTAAGGTTGACGTAACTACCCTGACCTATCAAACACTGGATTCTTACATTTATAAGGTTGATCATATAAAATAATAATTCTCCATAATTTAGTGATGTATTTACTTTTCACTGTTATATATAATATTTAAAAAGCCTGTATTTGATGTTTCACTTAAACACAAACGCTACATGTAAACTAAAATGTTACTTCAGAGAGATTTCGGACAGTTTTTTTGATAAATATAAAAATGTATCTTAATTTATTAAGTTATCAAGATCCTAACCATTATACTGTTCTCATGATTCTGGATGAAACCTAGTGAAACTCATCAAAATAAATACTTCATTTATCGTGAAATAAAAGATGGCTATGTCAAAATCTAAACAAATATCTTTATTTATTTATTTCTTTATCTTACATTATCTACTACTGAACATCATAGTGTATTCCAAGCAAACTCTGGATTGTATAAAAGAACAAACAGAATGAAGAAGAATTTAATTACTATTGTATCTATAGTGGAGATAAAATCCAGAAGTAAATATATTTCATTAAACTTACTCATACATATTTACTTCTCTTAAAAAACTATTTTGAAAGTTTATGAGCAACATGTAAGCATTACATGACAAATAAACTGACCGACACTGAAATACAGATAAACTACACATAATATTTTTCTACGTTCTCAAAAATCTTCTTTTCTAGATCATTAAGCTCCATCCTTGCTTCTTCTATCTTGATTTTCACGAGATCACGATCCTTCAGAGAAAATTGGTTGAAATAATTATACACATACCAAAAACTACAAAATATATAAACTATGGAAATATATAAATTATTATATGAGATACCAAAATAGTGAATTATTATCATTATTTTCACTTGATTGCAATATATTTATATATTAAATAGTAATAACTAGTTAGCATAGAATAAAACAATAATAATTTATAAGAAAAATATATAAATTTGGATGATATAAAGCATGGTTACAAAGCCTTGCACCAACTGGCTGATGTACAGTTTGTTTCTAAAGTCTTGCACCAACTGGCTGATGTACAGTTTGTTTATAAAGTCTTGCACCAACTGGCTGATGTACAGTGTTTATAAGATCTTGCACAGACTAGCTGATGTACAGTGTGTTTCTAAAGTCTTCCACCAACTAGCTGATGTACAGTGTGTTTCTAAAGTCTTGCACCAACTGGCTGATGTACAGTTTGTTTATAAAGTCTTGCACCAACTGGCTGATGTACAGTGTTTATAAGATCTTGC